GGTTTGCAGATACTCACTATGGCATTCTCCTAAATCTTTTGTGGGAAAATATTCAAAATACGATGTTTCAGCCCTGGTTGCTAGGATATACCTCTCAGTCTCTAAAACTCCTGCGGGTTGCTGGGTCAGTAAACTCTTACTTGCTTTTCTGCTTTGTCTTTGTTTTTGTTATTGTTGTTGTTATGAGATGGTGTTTTGTTTTGTTTTGTTTTGTTTGGTCTTTGTTTGCTTTTGTTCTGTTTTGTCTTTGATTCTAGCACCAGAGGGTGGGTCTCTCCTGTGCTCTGCTATTTATCCAGGATTTATTTCTCTCAGTGGCAGGACGCAGGTCCTGTGTCAGCTCAGTCTCATGTTTCCATTCATGAGCCTGGTCTTCAGATTTTCCCCTTCGGTTTGACTAGCCTATTTTCTTGAATAATGTTTTTAGAAAGGTTCATGCGTGCTATATTTGTGTATATCTAAAATAAATCCTCTTATCTCTCCTGTGAGAATTATAGATCTGGAATTCTGGCATCAATTTTTTTTCTTCACACTTTGCTCTAGTGTAGAGCATTGAGTGTTATTGATAAAAATCCTCCATTAGTTTGATTCTTTTCCCCCAATATTCTGTGTAAAAAACCGTTTTTTTCCCTGTTTTGGGGTCTTCTGTCTAGAATATTATGGGATAGTCTCCTTATTTTTGGAATTTATAAGACTGATTAGGTTGTATGAAGGAGTTTTGTTTTAATATTGTTATTTGGCTTCACAGGGCCCTTAGCTTTGAAGAGCCAAGGCTACCCCGCTCCCCACCCCCCTACTTCAGGGATTTTTTTTTTTCTACTCCACACTAACATGTATTCTGTCACCTTTCACCAACAATTCAAGGAAGCTAACTGTAAGAATAATGATAAAATAGAAGTTCAGTCAGAACCTTAGAAAATAAATATGTTTGTGGTCAGGACAAGAATGGTAGCCATGGAATGGTAGCCATGGGTGAGTTTCAAATTTGTCTTTGAGCTTTCTGGTTGGTAAAGAAATCATTAGTATCAAATTGACTGTGTTTGTCTTTTGCAAGCATTAAAAAATTAGCTACTTTTAATTCATACAAGGTATACATGGTAATGTAAAAAAGAGGAGGAAAAAAAAAAAGGTGTTTGCCCTGAAATTTTGCCAGCCAACCATGATAAACTTTTGTTGGTGTTTTACTGTTTATCCTTTCAGGTTGTGAATATTTGTTTGAGTGTATTTGTGCGTGAGGGAGAGAAAGACACAGAGAAAAAGAAAGAAACAGATTATACATATTCTCGGGGCACCTGGGTGGCTCAGTCAGTTAAGCATATGACTTTGGCTCGGGTCATGATCTCACAGTTCGTGGGTTTGAGTCCTGCGTCTGGCTCTGTTCTGACAGCTCAGAGCCTGGAGCCTGCTTCGGATTCTGTGTCTCCCTCTCTCTCTGCCCCTCCCTGCCTTGCACTCTGTCTCTCTCTGTCTCTCTCTCAAAAATAAACATTAAAAAAAATTTTTGAAAAAAAAAGATTACATGTATTCTCAAACTGTTTTAAATTGAGAATATCCTTCACTTATTCAGCCCTCATTAATTAGAGGCTCACCTGTTTGAAAGAACTCTGTTGTATTGGTAAGCCATATTTTATTAAATAATCTTTTGGAAATATTAGTTTCTAGGTTTTTTTCTGTTATGAAGATTGCTTTTATGGCTATAAAATACCAAGGTTTAATATGAGAAACAGAGAAATTGTCTAGAGGGTAAATAATTACAGCACAAAGGCATGAGTATTACTGTTAAAAGGGCAAGGAATGTGAATTGAAAATTCACCCAGGATTCTTTGAAAAACTGTTCAATTTTATTATAATCAATGAAATACAAACTAAAGCAACGAGATACCATTTTCCCCCTTATTATATTACCCCAGATTAAGAAATACATATCCAGTGTTTTCCTACTGCTCTGAGTGATACTGGAGTCTTTAATGGGATTTAAATTTAAAATTAAAATAAAAAAAAATTAAAAAATTAAGTTAAAAAAATTTGAAAACATGATGCCATCAATTTTCATTTGTTGACATGGAGAGAAGCCCACAAATTTTTTTTATTAATTTTTTTAATGTTTATTTTTGAGAGAGAGAGCATGAGTGGGGGAGGGGGAGAGAGAGAGAGGGAGACACAGAATCTGAAGCAGGCTCCAGGCTCTGAGCTGTCAGCACAAAGCCGATGCAGGGCTCGAACCCACAAACTGTGAGATCATGACCTGGGCCAAAGTCAGCTGCTTGACTGACTGAGCCACCCAGGTGTCCCCACAATTTTTTTTTTAAGTGAGGAGGGGGTAGGAGGCAATGTAGTTTCAACCATTTTTTATTTTTTAAGTAAAAGTGTTTTCTCATATCCCCCCAAATTCTGGTGAGCAAAATTCCATATCTAGCAGTGATTATATTTGTATGTTGTGTTTATGGGTGAACTCTATTTTTGTATTTATAGTTTTCTGTGTTTTCTTCAATTTTCTTACAATGATTATGTATCTTCTTTTTAGTTAAGAAAATAAAAGCTCTTTCATAAAATACAATTCATTCTTTTTGAAGCAATGATTCCACTGTATCCTAAGTGATCAAAAAGTGGACTGAAAATTATTCTCAAGCATGTACTCCTCTTCCAGTATGCCCCATATCGTTATACGGCACCAGTCTCCATTGAGCTGCCCAGGCCAGGAGCTAGACGTCATCCTGGAGTCCTCTCTTTCACTTACTCTGTACATCCTATTTATAGGTTGAAGACACTTGTCATCTCTGCCTTCGGAACATCACGAATGTGCCCACCTCCCCACACTGTGCCAGTGCACATCCATCCAGTCTCCTAAGTGAACTGCTCTGCATCTGCCCTTGTTTCTCCTGACCCCCAATTACAATCCATTTGTCACACAACCATCGAGGTCCTTTTTATTTAAAAAAAGAAAAAAAAATTTTAATGTTTATTTATTTTTGAGAGAGACAGAGTATGAACAGGATGGTGGCAGAGAGAGAGGGAGGCACAGAATCCAAAGGAGGCTCCAGGCTCTGAGCTGTCAGCACAGAGCCTGACTCGGGGCTCAAACCCAGGAACCTTGAGATCTGACCTGAGCCAAAGTCAGACGCTTAACCGACTGAGCCACTCAGGCACCCTGTATTCCTTTTTAAACAAAACTGCCACATCCCCCAACCCCCAGCGATCCTCAGAAGAAATTTCACATGTGTTCGTATATCTTACAAGACCCACGTGGTATGGCTCCTGCCTACCTCTTTCCTCACCTCGTTACACTGTCTTCTTGTTCCCTTTTGCTTAGGCCACACTGGACTTCTCTAGGCTCCTCCAACACTCAGAGCTTACTCTTGCCTTAGGGCTTTGGGCTAGCTGTTCTTCCTGACTAGAATCATCTTTATACCCACATTTTTACATGGCCAGCTCTTATTATTTAGATCTCTTTTTTCAATGTTTATTTATTTTGAGAGAGAGTGTGAGCAGGGGAGGGACAGAGAGGGAAAGAGAGAATCCCAAGCAGGCTCCACGCTGTCAGCACAGAGCCTGACACAAGGCTCGATCTCACGAACCGTGAGATCATGACCTGAGCCAAAATCAAGTCAGATACTTAACTGACTGAGCCACCCAGGCGCCCCTAGATATCATCTTTAATTTTACTTCTTGTCATACAGCTTGTTTGCTCTTACTGCACATCACCTTGTTTTTGTTTGTTTTCTTAGTTCTCATCATCCCTAGTTTATTTGATCAGTTGGTCATTGTCAATATCCCGCTGCTAGAATGTACACCTTGTGAAAACTTAATTCTCACCTGATATGTACCCCGTACTCCCGATCTTGATCTTTGCATGGTGGGCACTAAGTAAATACTCCTTGGGTGAGTACATGTCCATCATAACACCATAAATAGCCCTCAGATGAGTTCCAAAATAGCACTGATGGAGGCCCTGTGTTTCAGAGAGCTTTTTATGGCCAATGGCTCTTCTAGTTTTTACTTCTAGCCCCTCTGCAGTTTTCTTGTGGACTTACCTCAAGGGCGGTGGTGGCTGCTGTGGGAGAGGAAGCTGAGGAATAAATAACACAACCTGCTGCACTCACAAGTGCCCTGTGCCCTGCCAACCTGAGCTTTGTTACTAAAGCAGCCTGGCTCCTTTTGTTGGAGGGGCTTCTCTGAGTTCTTCAGCTCACCTACATGCAGGTGTCCTCAGACCCTCTGCACTCAGGCATGCTCAGGCATGTCTTCCGCCCTGCTTCTTTCTCTTGCCTTTATTTCTCTCTACCCTTTCCTAAGAATCCAAGGGCGTACTTGTTAGCAATCCTTGTGTATGTATTTAAAATTTTTTTAATGTTTATTTTTGAGAGACAGAGGGTGGGTGGGGGAGGAGCAGAGAGAGAGGAGACACAGATCCAAAACAGGCTCTAGGCTCCGAGCTGTCAACACAGAGCCCGACACGGGGCGTGAACCCATGAGCCATGAGATCATGACCTGAGCTGAAGTTGGATGCTCAACCGACCAAGCCACCCAGGTGCCCCTATCCTTGTATATTTTGATAGCACCTTTCTTTATCCTCCGTGCAAGGGAGACTTACCCGTTTTGTTTATTTTAGGATGGGAGAGCTTGTTTGAAACTGCAGTTTCTGAAGAAGACAATCAGGAAGTAATGAATAAACTCCGAGGTGACGGTCCTTTTGACTTCAAGTTGGGGAAAACCTACATAAACGAGGACAAGCTAGAGAAGCAGCAAGGCAAAAAGAACAAACCTTTCAGGAAAGTTTTAGTTACCATCAAGAATACATACCTGAGGGAGAAGAGCTTTATGGGTATTGAGCTAGGGAAAAATCTCAGTCTAAAGTCATCCCTTATTAGAAAACCCAGACTCGTTTCCAGGGGAAGGAAACCCCATTCACAGCAGTATTCCATTCTGTTTAAACAACTGGGAGTCAACACGGTTCGCAAATGTTACAAATGTAACATCTGTGGGAAAATCTTCCTCCACAGTTCTTCCCTGAGTAAACACCAGAGAATCCACACTGGAGAGAAGCTCTATAAATGCAAAGAATGTCGTAAAGCTTTCAGCCAAAGCTCGTCTCTCACTCAGCACCTTAGAGTTCACACAGGAGAGAAACCTTACATATGCAGCGAATGTGGGAAAGCCTTCAGTTTCACCACCTCTCTTATTGGACATCAGAGAATGCACACTGGAGAGAGACCCTATAAATGCAATGAGTGTGGCAAGACATTTAAAGGAAGTTCATCCCTGAATAATCACCAACGGATTCATACTGGAGAAAAGCCCTATAAATGTAATGAATGTGGGAGAGCTTTTAGCCAGTGCTCCTCTCTGATTCAGCATCACAGGATTCACACTGGAGAGAAACCTTATGAATGTAGTCAGTGTGGGAAAGCCTTTACCTCAATATCGCGGCTAAGTAGACACCATAGAATTCATACTGGAGAGAAACCCTTTAATTGTAACGAGTGTGGGAAAGTATTCAGTTACCACTCAGCTCTTATTATACATCAGAGAATTCACACTGGTGAGAAACCTTATGCATGTAAAGAATGTGGGAAAGCCTTCAGCCAAAGCTCTGCTCTGATACAGCATCAAAGAATTCATACAGGAGAAAAACCCTACAAATGCAACGAATGTGGGAAGGCTTTCTCCTGGATTTCACGGCTTAATATACACAACAGAATCCATACCGGAGAGAAACCGTACAATTGTAAAGAATGTGGAAAAGCCTTCAGTTCCCACTCAGCAGTTAACACTCATCGAAAAATTCATACTGGAGAGAAACCTTATAAATGTAATGACTGTGAAAAAGCCTTCAACCAAAGCTCAGCTCTCATTCAGCACCAGAGAATTCATACTGGAGAGAAACCATTTAACTGTAAAGTATGTGGGAAAGCCTTCAGACAGAGTTCCTCCCTCATGACACACATGAGGATTCATACAGGAGAGAAGCCTTATAAATGTAAAGAATGTGGTAAGGCTTTTAGTCAGAGCTCATCCCTTACCAATCACCAGAGGACTCACACTGGAGAGAAACTATAAATAAAACGCATGTGGAAAATCTTCCAACTGAAGTTCATTTCATACTAAATTTCAAAAACTTCATCCTGGGCAGAAAGTGATGAAGGGTAGTTGATTGTGAGTTAAACTTCAGAATTTAGACCTCCTCAAACGAGACTTCATGATGCAGGTAACCTTAGGTATATTAGGAAAGCCTCTATAAAATGTTATCCCCCCCTCCCCATAGCTTTTCAAGTAGAGAGTTTGTAAAGTTCTTTTCTCTTCTTCCTGGGGATATTGTGACGAGAGCCCCCCCAGCTTTCGCAAGCGTCACAGGGAAGCATGTTGATTTATGTTGAAGTGCAGCCATAAAATCCAGACTTTAGATTAATGGAGGAATCTATTTTTTTGAAACTACATTTAAGTGTTATGGAAGCCAGGTATGCTCAGAAGAATGTTTTGGAGAAGAAATGTAAGCAGGTGACCTGTACTACCTCATTGTCGCTAAAATGTGTTTTTTAATAGTTTCAAAGAAAATTCTGTACTTGGTCGTTGTGGAAACTTTTGTGTTGTTTCTTTTCTGCTTTCCAGGCCATTTACCTGAAAAGCAAATCACTCTGTAAACTCTGCGGGCACACAGTCCTGTGAGTTTTCTCCCTATTTGTTCCAAACTCTGAAGCAGATCTAAAATCATTTTATTTTAAATCACAAAATGCATGGTATTTCACTTGGTTTTATCCGAAAGTGATTACCTGAATTAAAGGTTATTCAGACAACTACTGCTTTTGCAAGTTAATCTACTGATAAATGTTAACAGTTATCTGAAAATGTAGCCATAGGAACATGACTCTGGGCTCCCAGTCTGTGCCTGCTTCATAGAGCTCTTGGTTACCATCCACCAGGAAGGCCCTGTCACAGTGTGGGTCACTGTCCATCCCACCTGGAGGTAAAATGAACCAGGTAATTTTGACTCCCTCCCACACTTCGAGGGCCACTAGACAAAATTTCAGGCTCTAAGTTCAGTAAATGGACCATTAATGCCCTTCAACAAGTTAGCATGTTTCAGCATTTCTAAAATGTGAGTAATAATTCCAACAACATAAAAAGTAATCTCCCAAGTGGAGCTAAAATTGTTGAACTTTACCGAAGCAACATTGTCTAGTTTTGCCCGGTGTTATCAGGAGTTGGCCAGCACTTAAGGACTGAAACACCTATTTTGTTTAAAAGAAAGAAAGAAAAAAAAGAAAGACAAGGACAAGTTTCTTCCTCTTTGTCGAAGAGTTAAAAAAAAAAAGAGTTAAAAAAAAAAATAACACCTCAGGAAAGGCTATTGGGGCTGGAGACTGAGCTAAAGCAAAACTTGAATTCAACTTGTGCTTCCTGGGACTGACTAATCAGTCTTATTTTTTCAGACTTAGGAGGAGCAGACTTTTCTGGGTCATTTAATCCTTCACTGCAGTGCCCCTTTGCCTACAACTATTCTTTTACATTCTCTCATTTCTGGGAAAATTTCTAGGAAAATATAACTTCCCTGTCTTAGTCTCTTTAGGTTGCTGTAACAAAATACCATAGGCCAGGTGGCTTCTAAACAACTGAAACTTACTTCCCACAGTTCTGGAGGCTGGGAAGTCCAAGATAAGGCACCAGCGTGATTGTGTTCTGGTGAGGACCCTCTTCCTGATTCGTAGCTGTCGCCTTCTTGTGTCCTCACATGGCGGAAGGGGTGAGGGAGCTCTCTGAGGCCTCTTCTAAGGGCACCAGTTGCATTCATGAGGCTCCACTCACATGACAGTCACCTCCCAAAGGCCCCGTCTCCTAATGCTGTCACCTTTGCGGTTAGGATGTCAACATGAATTCTGAAGGGGCACAAACATTTAGACCATCGCATTCACCAAGTAACAATAGTCCTAAAAATAATCCCCCAAGATAAATCTGAACAAAGTTACACAAAGAAAATACCAGGTCCTGTTACTTTTAAGTTGAGGTCTATCAAACATGAAGTAACAGATCATTTGAGTCTTGTGCAGGATATTCCAGAGGAGATCACGTGCCAACACAGTGATTCTAGTAACCCAGTACCAGAACCTGACAGGGAAAGTGCAAGAAAGAAAACTTGCAGGCCTATATCACCCATGAACAGAGATGTAAAAATCCTAAACAAAGTATTAGAAAATGTAATCCAGAAGTACCTAAACATAGTGAATGCATCATGATAGAGATTTTTCACAGGAACAGATAGATTATATAGCATTAGGAAACTTCGAGGTACTGTGTACCACCTGGACAGATTAAAGGTGCAGAATCCATGTGTTCATCTCAATAAATGCAGCCAAAGCAGTGGAAATACTCAGCACCCATTCATTGTAAAAACTCTTAGCCAAGCAGTGGAGAGAAGGTACTTAGCCTGGTAAAAGGGTATTTACCAAAAACCTGCTGGCAAAAATGGTAAAATGTTAGAAGTAGTTATGACAGGAGGAGTATAAAGAACAAATTATGCAATAATGGCTCTGAGAAAAACAGTTCATCCACATAGAAGAAAAATTAGATGCCTACCCTCACCACAAAAAGAATTCTGTGAGAGGCAAAATTATGTATCTTTTGGAAGAAGATGTAAGGCATAACTTTATGACTTCAAGATAGGGAAGGATTTTTTTTTTTTTAAGTAGGCTTCATGCCCAGTGTGGAGCCCAATGTGGAGCTTGAACTCACAACCCTGAGATCAAGACCTGAGCTGAGATTAAAGTCAGACTCTTAGCTGACTGAGCCACCCAAGCATTCCAGTAGGTAGGATTTTTTTTTTTTAATGATTGTTTATTTTTGAGGAAGAGGGAGAATCCAAGCAGCCTCTGCACCACCAGCACAGAGCCTGACATGGGTTTCAAACTCACAAACTATGAGATAACCTGAGCTAAGAGTTGGACAGTTAACCTACTGAGCCACCCAGGTACCCCAAGGTTTTTTTTTTTAATGTTTGTTTATTTTTGAGAGGGAGAGAGTGTGCATGCGACAGAGAGAAAGGGGGACAGGAGATCTGAAGTGGGCTCTGCTAAAGAGCTGAGAGCCCGATGTGCTCAAACTCATGAACTGTGAGATCATGACCTGAGCTGAAGTAGGACGCTTAACCAACTAAGCCAGCCAGGTGCCCCGGGAAGGAGTTTTTAAACAGGATACAAATAAGCTATGAAATCTTTGTATATATTTGCTCACATTAAAATGAAAAACATCTTGTTATCAAAATATACCAAAAAGGAAATGAAAAGTCAAGACATAAAACATCTTGCCATGGTATTTAAAAAAAAATTTTTTTTAATTTTTTATTTATTTTTGAGACAGAAAGAGCAGGGGAGGGGCAGAGAAAGATGGAGACCCAGAATCCAAAGCTGTCAGCACAGAGCCTGATGCGGGGCTTGAACCAATGAAATGTGAGATCATGACCTGAACCGAATTCAGATGCTCACTGACTGAGCCACCCAGGTGCCCCTCCACAGAATTTTCAACAAATGCTTATCATCTGGAAAATGTAAATAATGTATACAAATCAACTTAAAAAAAGACAACCTGGTAGAAAAATAAATTGAATACATGACTGTATTTCACAGAAGAGGAAATGCAAATTTCTAAAAACATGAAAAGATGCTTTCAGGATCACAGATAATGATTTTATGAGATTTTGTGACTTTTTAAAATAGACCTTATTTATTTTTTATTTTTTTGGTAGGCTCTAAACCTAGTGTAGGGCTTGAACTCACAAACCCGCTGTCAAGAGTTGCACACTCCACTGACTGAGCCAGCCAGGCCCCCCAGGTTTAATGATTTTTTAAAGATGAGTAAAAGTGAAGATGTGTGACATTATGGAATTTTAGAATGTATGTGAAATAACTGGAATGCATGCTTGACTAGTGAGAGTGTAAACTGATACAGACCATTAGCATCCTATAAAGTGAATTTGAATTTGTGTATGTCATGAAACACGAAGTTCCACTCCTACGTATATATAATAGATAAATGTTTGCATATGAGCAGTAAGAGACATGTATAAAGATATTCTTAGCAGTGCTGATCATAGTAGCTACTGTTTGAAAGTATCTGGTGATAGGAAAATGGGTTATTTTGGAATATTAACTATGTAGAGCAGCAGTGGAAACTAATGAACCAAAGCTGTAAACAAAACACAGATGAATTTAAAAGCCTGAAGACTTTTCAAAAGACGTAGGAAACAACATACAGCCTAATAGCATGTTCTGCAAAATTAAATTTAGTTTAAGTGATTTATACATGTGGGGAAGATACTAAACAAAAATAGCAAGTGACCAAATGACAAGATATTCTAGCTCTCCATTGCTGTGTAACAACTCATCCCAAAGTTGAGTGGCTTAAAGCAACAGTTGTATCAACACCTACCTGTCGGTTCCATATTTGGGTTCAGTTGGGCAATTCTTACTTGGCGTCTCTAATGCATTTGCAGTCCAATGGCAGCTGGCATTGAAGCTCAACTTAAGCTTGGTGTCCAGGGTGGCCGGCAGTCGGTGATGACTGCTGCTTGAGAGCCCTATTGGATTTTGCACAGGGGAGTGGCTGGTTTCTGAGAGGCAATGTCCTGAGAGCCAGCATTCTAAGAGACCTATATAGAAGTTGCAAATCTAAGAACTCGACTTTGGAAGTCACATGAGATTAATACATTAATTCTATATTCTTTTGGTGAAAAACGATTTATAGATGTGGCCCAGATTCAAGGGGAGAAGATGATACAAGAGTGTGAATACCAGGGTCATGGTTCATTGGGGGGACCAGATTTGGAGACTAGTTACCACATGAACACAAAAGCCAGGATGGTGATCACCTCTGACTGTGAGGCAAGGAAGTGATTTGGGAAGGAGCATGGGGTTCCTCAGTTTGCTTGATGCCTGAGAGAGCCTTCCTTTTCAGAAAGAGGTTTTCAGGTCAGCCAGAATGAGGATCAGTAAGAAGGCCAGTGTGTTTATCAGTAAAAATAATTAAATAGAATTTTTTTTTTTTTTTTTTTGCTCAGCTCTAGAGTGGGT